CTGATGTAAGTCATTAAAAACAATGAGAGACCAAGCATTGTACAGACAGATTGTCATCTGAAGCATGCATGGTGCTGCCTTCAGCCGTCCTGCCACTACTGTTGACAGAGTGTCGGGAAATCTCCAATTATCAGTATCTTAACTTTATTAAATTTTCCCATTAAAATTTAAAAGGCTCGTCGGTGCTGATATAGGTATTTTTCATTGTCTTCTTTTAAAAATTGGCTCGAGCATTGAATTGAAGTGTTTAGAGAATAGGTTATGCAGGCATGCACAGGTTTGAAATTTATTGTAAAGATTACCAGATTAAATATTCTCCAAAGAGTCTATACTCTGTCAGAGACTGTAGAGTTTTCAGTCCAACTCATCCATACTGACCAAGTTTCCCAAACTAAACTAGTCTCGTTTGCCTGTGTTTTGGCACACATCCCTCTAAACCTTTCCTATTCATGTACCTGTCCAAACGTCTCAAGTGTTGCAACTGCACCTGCATCTACCAGTTCCTCTGGTAGTTCATTCCACATACAAACCACCCTCTGGAAAAAGTTGCCCCTTGGGTCACTTTCAGATCTTTCCCCACTCGCCTTAAAGTTATGCCCTCTAGTTTTAAACTCTCCAACTCTAGAGAAAAGACCTTTTGCTGTTCCCCTTACCATCAATTTTGTTGTCATCCGTAAACTAACTAACCGTGCTTCTTTTATTCTTATTCAAATCATTTATATAAATAACAAAGTGAACAGTAGGGATTAGTTGATATTACCCCAATCATCCCATTAAAGCAACTCAGTTTGTTACAGACAAGTATTACTGTTGAGGTGGAGAAGTAAAGTTTACAATTATTCTGCTTTGTTAGCTCAGCTGAATGGCTGGTTTGCAACACAGTGGGATCACCACGAAGGAATGGAGCAGACTTGATGGGCCAAGTAGCCTTATTCTGCTCCTACACCTTATGGTCTTGTGTCCTGCCTTCTCGGTCTTGCTGCTTGCCTGAGATGTGGTGACCCTCAGGCTAAATTTATGTGGAGAAAAGATGTTTCCATGAGCAGGAGCAACTAGAACCCAAGGGTACAGCTTCAGAAGGGATTACCCTTTGGGACTGAGATAAATAATTTCTTCAGCCAGAGGGTAGCTATGGAACATATTGCCCACAGAAGAATGTTGAGGCTAAGCTATTGAGTGTCTTTAAGACCAAGATAGATAGGTTCTTGATTAGTAAGGGATCAAATGTTATGGGGAGAAAGCAGGAGAATGGGGATGAGGAACATTTTAGCCATGATCAAATGACCTAATTCTGCTCCCATATCTTGTGGTCTTGAGTCTTCTCTGTCTGATAAGACTGCAGTGACTTGACTTTTACTCCCAGAATGCGGAAAAGCACAGCTGGCTTGGGGTGGTGGGAAGGGGTGGGGGGCACTGTTGTCTGTATTATTTTTCTTCTTCTCTTGTTATAGCCTAGCACAGAGATGATTAACTGAGTCTCTAAATTGGGTATTTCAGTCACAGCAAATGCCCACTGGAATTTGGCATTTTCCCAGTCCAGATGTTGGCACTTTGTGCCTTCAGAAATCTGAATTTTTGAGGCACAAATTTAGAAATTGCTCTTACGTGACCGAAGGAATAATGCAATTTGCATTCATAAGGGGCTGGTTTTAGATATTTATGGTTTTATCATTGGCCATCACCCATACCGTGCATCCTCCTGTTCTTTGTCAAGGTAAAACAAACAGGAGGCTGGAAGAACACAGCGAGCCAGGCAGCATCTAGAGAATAGTAGAAGTCAACGTTTTGGGTATTATTCTCTGTCAAGACTATTACAGAGATTTGTTTCTCAGTGCAGGTTTGAAAGACTCGGTCTTTCAAATGAAGATTCCTAATTCAGAATCAGGTTTATGCTGTTAACCTAACAACCTCAGCCAACATGGTACTTGGTCTCAATCTCCCAAGCTAGGGAGAATAAATGAAATGGAATGAAAATGAACTCCTCCTAGGTGTCATTGCATGACACTTACCAAAGTGTGAATCTGTGGTTGCCTGGTAGAGACAGGAACAGCCTCTCTTTGTACAATTTTTTTGATGTTGGCTATCCAGGTTTATGTGGAGGATGGCCTTTTAGGCATGGTACTGGAATGCTTTTTGTACCAAAGAATTGCTTTCAGGAAATTGTAGCAGTAATTTGGGAGTGAAGAGGAATGACTCTTGAGATTACTACTGGCATTGCACCTTGAGAGCTATTCTTTGAAAATCATGGCATCTGACTGTGTGTTTCTTTGAATTAATTAGTGTCCATAGACCGAGATATTTGCTGCTCAGGCATCTCTGGTTCAGATAAATCAATACTGTTAACAGCTAGCTGCAGAAACAACTCTTTGTGGTTTGCATATCCACAGATCTGATGTCAGCATATAGATTTCTGCACACTGAGTTTAATGTGGGGGTTTATATTGGCTCTTTGTGATTTCTTTAGCTGTTTTAGATCTTTTTGTGGATTCTGCTACTTTTATATCCTTTCTATATTAATTACTGTTCGTGCAAATTAATTGGGGTTTGCATTGGTTGATTTATAATGTTCATTTTTTTAGAAACCCAAATAAAAACATGAGGTAACCTGAGTATATATGCCCCTGATAAATCAGTATACAGTAGCTTGGTCTTGTGTAATCTGCTTATTATAGTAATTTTGAACTCATTATTTTTTGTTGAACTTTTCTTTAATAAAATGAAATGTTGGTGTAAGAAAATTGAACAGTTCACTTATTACAAATAGGATGCACGTTAAAGACTTCTCTGTCGGGCATATCAAGGAGCAGAGTTCCATCTCACAAGAAAAACAAAATTACTGGAAAAGATCAGCAGGTCTGGTTGCATCAGTGAAGAAAAAAATCAAGAGTTAACGTTTCGGGTCCGGTGACCCTTCGTCAGAACTAGCCTAGTGCTGAGGAACGGTCACCGGACCCGAAACATTAACTGATTTTTTTTTTTCTTCTCCGAAGCTGCCAGACCTGCTGAGCTTTTCCAGCAACTTTGTTTTTGTTCCTGATTTACAGCATCTGCAGTTCTTTCAGTTTTTATTTGAGTTCCATCTGTTTGCCTTGGCATGCCATCCTTTTAAGCAAACCTATAGCTACCCAGAGATAACAAGGTGTAGAGCTGGATGAATACAGCAGGCCA